TGAGCCACAGTGCCACTTCCGGCTTTTTCTTTTTGCTTATGTGGTGCTGAGGAATCGAACCCAGGGCCTCAGGCATGCAAGGCAAGCACTCTACCACTGAGCCACTTTCCCAGCACCATGGCCTTGAACTCTTGAAAACTCTTGCCTCCACTGTTTCCTGAGTGCTGAGATTAAAGATGTACCCCAACACCTGACGTAAGTATTCTCTTTTCTAAATAAAATTCCTTTCTGGATATTATTATATTAATAAAAGATCTTTTCAATTCCCTGATTTTTTTCTATCCTTTCAAGGGACAGTTTTTCTTATTGTTTACGTTTTATTGTTGCTAGTTCACTTGGGTTTTTTTCTCTTCTACTGTGCTTTATCATCTTTCACTATATCCATATTTAAGACAGGTCTGGGAAATGATGTGAATTTTCTCTAGCACTGTGTACATGGTAGAGGAAGTTTCTCCTCTGAATGGGAATGTAGCTTGAGGACTCTGTATATGGTTCCTCAAGGTAGATGGACTGACAAAGTATTTTACAATGTGAAGGCAAGAGTGGTCCATTGGCTGTGCCCTGCCAGTGCTGTTATGGGAAGGATTTTGTATTGGTTTGTACAAAATTATTTCACGTCTAAAGTAGCTTTTATTCAGATACTTCCAGTGTTCTCAAAGGACATTCTTCAGCTTCTTTGTCTAAGAGTAGCCACCTTCGTTCTGCGTGAGGAAACGATGGTGGTCCTGGGGAAAGCTCACCCTTGCACACCATCCTGGAACACGTGTTTTCTGCTCCAGTTCCCATTCCTACAAACTTGGAGCAGAAGATTCTCCATGTTTCTCTAAGCAGCTTAAGTTTTGTACATCCAGTGTAATACTCTTACAGCATCTGGACCAAACATTGCCAGCCAGTTCCACTCAACAATAGACTTTCATATCAGCTTTTTTTCTCCTAGGAAATAACTGAAACTTAACCTGTTAGTTAATTTCTCTTTGTAGATGAGTGTTACAATTGTTATACTTCCATTTTATTTCAGGGAGTTCTCAGGAGAGACAGGATATATATATATATATATATATATATATATATATAGAGAGAGAGAGAGAGAGAGAGAGAGAGAGAGAGAGAGAGAGAGA